GCATCGGCATTCTTGGCTTTAAAGGGCCCTTCCAACTCAATGAATCCGTTCCAGAACAGAGGATGTGACTGCACACAATTCAGCAGAGCTAAGAGCTGATCCCCTGGGATCTAGGTGCCTTGAGGGAGTTCGTGACAATGATTTTCCACTGAACGATGGAGAAGTTAGGACCGAAGAGACAGGACATTAAATATGTTCATGTTCATCTGGGCCAAATACTCTGCTAAGCCTGGGAGCTTCCAAGGGAATTTAAAACACAGTACCTGCTATCAACCCTCTGAGTGGCACCTTGGACAGATCTCTTCCCCCCTCCCCCTGCCCCCCACCACCCCCTGGAGCCTTGGCTCCCCCATCTGTGAAGAGAGGTGGTTGAATCCAGATCCTCTCTAGTGCTGGTATTTTGCTATTTCCACATCTGTCTGAAGTCAGATAATGAAGGACTTCTAGCAAGGGGGCCCGCTGGGCCTGCTGACCCCTTTGTAACCCACATCCGTTTCGGGCTCAGAGAGAAGGCACTTGTCAAAAGTCACACAGCTTGGGAAAAAAAAAAAAAAAAAAAAAAAAAAAAAAAAAAGCTGACACAGCTTGAAAGCAGTGGAGCCTGGATTTGAACAAAAAAAAAAAAAATCTTTATTTTGAGAGAGAGAAAGCATACGCATGGGGGGCGGGGGACAGAGAGATGGGGAGAGAGAAAATCTTAAGCAGGCTCCACGCTCAGTGTGCGCCTGATGTGGAGCTGAATCTCACAGCCGTGAGATCGTGACCCGAGCTGAAATCAAGGGTCAGATGCTCAACCGACTGAACCACCCAGGCGCCCCATTGATTTGAACCTTTGACTGCCAGACTGCAAGTATAGTCTTTCCCCTTCAGCCTGGGTCCAAAAAAGGAGAGACTGACCAAAGAGCCTCTCATAACGTACAGCATCTCCGAATAGGAGCGGCAGGCAGAGCTCTTTCTCCAAGCTTAAGAATCGCTCCATCCTCGTCCCGCATGGTTTCTTCGTTTGTTATAAAAAGTCAGCTCAGGACTAGCTCTGTGCCTGGCCAGGTGCTGGCGGCCAAAGGCTCCAGGATGACAGCAGCCCCGGTCCCCGCCTGCACTGAGTCCCCAGGTTAGCCGGGGAGACCCTCATTAACACGAAGTGACAAGCCCAGGGAGAAGAGATCTGCACCGTGTTGTGGGAACACAGAGGAGGGAGCGAGGCCTGTGCCTATAAGGTCATGGAATTCTTCCGGGCGGGTGGGGGGGGAGTCTTTGAAAGACAAATGGGGCACTCAATAGCCAGAGAACAGCAGGGAAGGGCACCGGGCCAAGGGACCAGAATGTGTAAAGCCACGGAACAGAGCCTGGAACGAAAATGCAGGCGGGGAAATAGTCAGAGGTCAGAAATGGCCTCCTGTGCGTGGGGACCGAGTCCAGCCTGAGAGATGCCGCTTGGCCCACAGATGGTTTTAAAAGCGTCCATGGTCATTATTTAAAGCCAGGAGATTTTATTACGAAATTCTGATTTTCATTGTCTCTAAACTTTTTGGAAAATCTGAGGGCCCATCTTCCATGGCAACAGTTGGCCAGAGCTGAAGAATGGCCCCTTCTGGCTGCTTCACCCACTGATGTCATCTGATTGGGCCTCGTTGACATTTTGACGTGGGATTCTGCAATCTACAGCATAAGGTGCTCTTTTGCCTGCACTGGCTGATGACTAGCCAAAAAGTAAAGAGACTGAGAGAAGGGAAGAGAAGGTCATGGTGGCCTGGAGTGGCAGTGGGGGGACCTCCTCAGGCATGGGGAGGACAGAATCCCTGCTCTCCACTGTAAATGACTCTGGGCCCCAGGAGGAAAGGAGGGGCCCAGTCCTCAGTGATTTGGCCTCTGGATCCAGGAGACAAGGAGCCTGATTTTAACTCAAGGAAGGGCAGGGATCATGGCCTTCCTTTTTCCTTCAGAACGCATGATCACGTCTCTGTTCCAACAAATTCTCCGGGGTTCTGCCTGTTGGCAACGGTAAGAGCAGCCACGATCACTTTTAAATATTCATTTAGAAAAACAATCAAATCTTTCTGCACATCAAATATTTGCCTCTAGATTTTTTTAAAAAAATCCAAACACCTATAATCTTGGCAGCATTTGCTTCCAAAGAATGCAACTATTTCGGTGACTGGGGCCAAAACAAATGTTTTTCCTGAGGCCAAACGGTTCCAGAATGTTTGCCAAATATTTCGTACCCTTTTTAAAATACGGTAAAATTAGCAAAGCACTAGCATTAAAAAATATTGAAAACAAAAAGTCAGGGGCGCCTGGGTGGCTCAGTCGGTTAAGCATCCGACTTC